ACAGGGAAGGCAAGGGTGAGAAGCACCAAGGTAGCAGAGAATGTTGAGCTTGTCTGGATGTGTGGAAGGGGCCATGGAGCAGTAGCCCCATGTTGTTTCAAGGAAAGTATAGAAGGTGAGCCAGTAGCAAGTACAGTTTGCCTTCCAGTGATGTGACCAGGCTGGGTACTGGGGCCTATTGCTTTATTATTTAATTTTTTCCAAAGAAAAAAAAAATAGTTGCTACAACCATTTTAAAGGGCCAGCTTTAACAGAGCAGAGGCTTGAGGGTTTGTAGTGTTGCCTTGAACTCCCAAGCCCTTTGTAACATGTTTTTAAACCTTGGCACGTGTCGTGGGTGTAGTGCCCTTACCTGCTGTGTAGTGGAAGTGGCAGACTCTTGGAAAGCCAGTCTTTGTAATAAAACAAGGTGCTGAAACCCACAGAGTGAAGCTCCTGCCTCATGCTCGCGGAGGGGACACGAGGGTGTGGGGGACCCCTCAGGCACTGGTGTAGCTGTGCCATGCTCAGGGCGGGCAGCTCGGCGGGTGACCACCGTGTCTCCACAGGAGCTGGGTCTCCACCCCTGCGGGCTGCGGAGCCCACGCGCCCTGCGGGGCTGTGGCCACACGCTGCTCCTGCTGGAAGGGGCACAGGAGGGGGACAGGGTGTGCGAGGGCACAGCCCAGCGCCTGAGCTGGCCGCACACCATGCTGAACATGTGAAAAACAAACACCCCAGCAGTGCCCAGCACCAGGCACCCTCACGTCTGCCAGGTGCCACTGAGCTACAAGGCAGTGTCTTCTGTCCTTGGAGAGCCCCACACCACCACCCACCGCTGAGGCTTCTGGCTTCAGTGCTGAGACAAGCCCCAGCCTGTAGGCCTTAATAACCATGGCATTGCTAAATCCTCCCTTCCACCTCCCCCAGTAAAAAGCTGCTCTTTCCAGACACCAGGGGGATTTTCTTTTCCCACTAGAAAGCTGATTCTTAGCAAAGTTAAATGCAGCCATTAAATGACTCGCCCTCTCACAGTAAAGAGCCTCACGTGTCACACAAGTGCCCGGTGAGAGACGACGCAGCTCCCGCCCAGTTTGTTACAGGGCATCTCCAGCCCAGCGAGTGGGGCTGGGTGAGGGTCACCATCAAAGCACCAGGCAAGCTCTGCTCAGTCACCACTGCAGCAGCCCCTGCCCTGTCCCCAGGGGAACACGAGTGCCAGCTCCATTAAAGATGGATCAACGTGGCCAAGGCTGAAGTTTAAAGAGAAGTTAGTTTGCTCAGCTTTTGCTTAAGCCCCAAAGCAAGACCAGGAGCCTTGGAGGGCATTGGCAAGGCCAGCCGAAGATTAGCAAAATCCTCTTTAGGAAGAGAGTTTTGCTTCCACTTATTCTCTGCTGCCCAGGAGGACTGTAACCCTTTGCATTATCAGGCTGACCTTCAGAAGGGCTCTGCTCTGTGCAGAGCAAGAGAAATTCAGGCATTTGAAGCTACTAAATGAAAGTGTTCATATGTTGACTCACAGGAACTAGCAAGACAGGTTTAGAGGTGGGAACGGTGCCATAGATAGATAACGAGAGCAGAGCAGTGCTGCAGTCTACAGCAAACACTCCAAACTCCTTTTTTGAGCCCTAAAACACTTCTGTCTTCCTCTTACCTTGGTTAGAGCACAGGCAGCTCCCCCCCGTGCTGGGGACCCTCACCCATGGCCTGCACCCGGGCCTGCTGCCCCGGCACTCCTGTAATCCCAGCTCAGCCAGGCATTAGCACAAGGGCAGGCAGGAGGGCAGGGGCCAGGCAGGCACCCCACACCGAGGCTGGGGGCACCGCAGCCCCACACAGGCAGGGCTGGCCAAGCCCGAGCTGCACAGTGCCCGGGGTGCCACCGCGCTGCGTCCCACGGGTCCCAGGGCATCACTGCCAGTCCCCACAGCCTGGCACCCCCAGCACTGCTGGCTGTACCATGGTGGGGAGACTGGGAACAGGCACGGCAGGCAGCCACCCACAGCACCAGCTCCCCACCGTGCCCCACGAGACAAGGCCAGGGCTGGGGGATCTCGGTGCTGGGAGCGCAGTGCCCGGACCCACGAGCAGGGCAGCAGGCACCATTTCATAAGGGGAACAAAGAACCTTTATTAGCACAGAGTTAAAAACAATTCAGGGGACTAAAATCAACCAAGACCTGAGGGCTTGGGACCCAGCTGGAAGCAGGGCTGTCTGGGACCCTCTATGGAGCCTTCTTGCCCACACCAGTGTCTGCCTTCTGTTGCTTGACCTTCCTCTGGCCCGCTCCTGGGGTCACCTGGGGCTTCCCCACCTTGCCTTGACCCTGCTTTGCCTTGGGGGGGTCCTGCTGAGCCCCCTTTGGTGCTTTTCCCTTGCTCTTTGCCACTGGGACCTTTCGAGGCCCCTTCACCCCAGCACCTGCAGGGTTGTCACCAGGGCCCCCTCCTGCATCCTCATCAGCTGGAGCTGCAGGAGGTCCCAAACGCCCTTTGCCAGGGGCCCGGGGCTGGGTCGCAGCTCGTGGGGGCTTCGCTCCGTTGCTCCCAGGCTTCACTGCTGCTGGTGGCAAGGCCTGGAGAGGAGAGAGCACCTCAGGCTGCTGCCATAGGCATGGAATCATTGAGGTTGAAAAAGATAATTTAAGATAATTGCATCCAACCGTTCCCCCAGCACAGCCAGGTCCCCACTGCCCTGTGTCCCTCAGCACCACATCTCCACGGCTTGGGAACCCCTCCAGGGGTGGGGACTCCACCACTGCCCTCGGCAGCCTGGCACAGGCCTCCACAGCCCTCTAGGGCAAGAAATTGTTCCTCAGGGACAACCTCAACCTCCCATGGAGCAACCTGAGGCTGTTTCCTCTTGTCCTGTCCCTTGTTCCTTGGGAGCAGAACCCAACCCCCCCCGGCTCCAGGCTCCTGTCAGGAGCTGTGCCGAGGCAGA